TACCTCTTAATTTACCCTTTTACCTCTCCTTAACTTACCTTTCTACCTCTTCTTAACTTACCTTTCCTCAGGATTGTACTCTTGGGTTCGCGAAATGGCGTAGGTAGGTTTTTTATTTCTTTTTTTTATTATTTTTTTAATAAATATATTTACTTACCTTTTCTACCTCTTCTTACTTACCTTTCCTCTGAATTGTGCTCTTGGGCTCGCGAAATGGCGCAGGTGATCGCGAAATGGCGTAGGTAGGTTTTTTATTTTTTATTATTATTATTTTTTTAATAAATATATTTACTTACCTTTTCTACCTCTTCTTACTTATCTTTCCTCTGAATTGTGCTCTTGGGCTCGCGAAATGGCGCAGGCGATCGCGAAATGGTGTGAGTAAGCTTTTTCTTTCTTTATTATTATTATTTTTTTTAATAAAATAATTTACTTACCTTTCTACCTCTCAACTTACCTTTCTTCTTAACTTACCTTTCTACCTCTTCTTAACTTGCCTTTCTACCTCTTCTTAACCTACCTTCATTGAAATTGTGCTCTTTGACTTGTGGAATGACATAGGCAATCGCGAAATGGCGTGGGTAAGTTTTTTCTTTCTTTTATTATTTTTTTTTTAATAAATATATTTACTTACCTTTCTACCTCTTCTTAACTTACCTTTCCTCAGAATTATGCTCTTAGGCTCGCGAAATAGTATAGGTACTTACCCTTCCTTTGGAATCGTGATTGTAAACTTATAGTATATATTAATATTATTTTTTTTAAAAAAAAATAATAGAAACAATTTACTTACCTTTCTTCTCACTTACCTTTCTTGGAGTTTTGTGATAAAGGAATTAGCTTTATGGTTAGTTTCTTTTTCTCTACTTTATTTGTTTTATATTGTCATAAGCCAAAAACAACTTAACTGTTAGTTATCCCAAAGAATGTTAATGTAAAATATAATTCAAACCAAAAATAACTTAACTGCTAGTTACTCTAAAGAATGTTAGTGTAGAAGTTTTGTGAGCATTTGCTAAAATATATATTTAAATAAAACACTATAGTCTATAAATAAAATTAATTTTGTTACACAATTTCTCTATTGCGCAGATAATCTAATCACTGATTAATTCATTGTTCTACAAACTATACAATCTGATATTTTTTTTTCAAAAATGTCTTTTTCAGAGGATATGTATTTTGACGATTTTGAAGAAACAAATCCTTTTAGTCCAGCTCCTGAATTGGGACTTGAACAAAGTACATCAATCTCACCTAAAAAAAGTGGACGTAAGAAAAAAGCAATATGGGACCATTTTGAAGTAATAGGTGTTTACAAATCAGGACATACTGGGGCAAAATGTATATTTTGTTTAAAAGAATATAAAAATGCCAAGCCAACAGATCTTGAGGACCATATTGCCACCCAGTGCACAAAAGTATCTACAAATATTAAAGCTGAATACCTTAGAATTGTAATGCAAAGAATGCGAGGTCCAAATAATGATAATTCAACTCAGTCAAATACACAATCTACAACTACTGCTATTACTGCCTCCACTTCAACTAGCAATAAAAGACGTCGTACTCAATCATCAGTAACATCTTTTTATGAACCTTCTTCAATTGACTCTGCTAAAGAAATTCACTGTACCCGTGCTCTTACCAAATTCTTTGTCTGTTGTGGTATTCCATTTTCCCTAGTTGAACATCCCTTTTTTTTAGATTATTCAAAATCTTTATGTCCTGGATATGAACCTCCTGGACGAAATTTCCTTTCAACAACCCTTATAAATACAGAATTAGCTTATGTACAAGTAGCAATTGAAGAAGATCTAGCAAATGAAAATAATTTAACACTTGGTAAGTATTTTTAAAATATATAGGAGAAAAAAAGGAATTATAGAGAAGTTAATAAAAAGAATGAGATTAAAAATATATATATATATATTTTTTTTTATAGGATTAGATGGATGGACCACTCCTTTAGGTCAATCTTTATATGCATTTGTGATAATAACAGCAAGTAAAAAAGAATATATTCATTCTTTAATGAATTTGTCTAAAGATTCACATACTGGTGAATTTATTGCTCAAAAGATAGAAGAAGTTATTGATAATATTGGTTATAAAAAATTTTCAGCAATAGTTTCAGATAATGCTGCAAATATGGTTTTAGCCAAAAAAATAATAACAAAAAAATTTCCTAATATTATTTCATTACGATGTATTGCACATCATATTAATTTACTTACATCAGACATCATGAAATTGGAATTTGCCAAAGATACAATTAATAAAGTATGTAAATTTTATTATTTTATTTTGTTGAGAAAAAATTTTTAAAAACTAAATTATTATTTATTTATTAGTGCCAAAAAATTATAATTTTTTTCAAAAAATCACATCAAGCAGGAGAATTTCTCCGGAAAGAAATCATGACAAAAATTAGTTCTGGTGGTTTAAAATCATATGTAAAAACAAGATGGACAACTGCATATGATTGTGTCAATTCAGTTCTAAATCTTGAAACAATACTTAAATCTGTAAGTGATTATTTATATTAGTTATTATAATTATTGTTACTATTTTAACTTATTTATTATTTAAATAGATTATAGTAGAAACACCTGAGATTATTAATGAAAATATACAAAATATAATTTGAAATCGTATTTTTTTTCAAAATTGTGAAGAACTTAGAAATATTTTATATCCAATTAAAAAAGTAATCAAATCTTTGGAATATAGAAGTACAACTTTAATGGATTGTTTTCTTCAATTAATTTATTTACTTGCAACAGTAAATAAATTTCCTAGAGGATTAAATCAAGAATTTCAAACAGATTGTTTAACAATCTTTAATCGAAGATGGAATCAATTTGATTTTAATTTATATCTTCTTTCATATTTTTTTCATCCTAAATTTCGTTGTAAGTATAATATTTAATATTTTTATTAATAATTATAACAATATAACTATATATTATTATATTATATTATATAGTAATTGGAATTAAGGCACATCATCAAAGACTAGTTTATGAAACTGCTTTGGAAATTTGGAAAAATATGGGAGGGGGTAAAATTTCAAGTGAAAATTTAATTGGACAAATGCAATCATATTCCAAATATAAAAAACCTTGGGATATTAAATACATTGAAGGTACACATACAATAAATACTTGGTGGACATGTGCAACTTTAAAAGATAATTTTATTCAAATAATGGCATTAAAAATCACTTCATTAACATCTCATAATGTAAGTTGTGAAAGGATTTTTTCTATTTTAGGATGGTTTTGTAATAAACGAAGGATGAAGTAAGTTAATTATAAATTATTTTTTATATTTTTTATTTTAAATTAAATATATTATTTATTATTATTTTATATAGATTAAACATTGATCGATTAGAAGCTATGTCCAAGTTACATTCATATTATGTAACTAATGCACAGGCTGAATTAAAATGTGTACTTAATAATCAGGTTGATGAAAATCAAATTGAAAATATTATTCATAATATACAATATAATGAAAATGATGAATTTGAAGAAATTGAAGAAGATGAAGAAACAAATGAAACAAATGAAACAGATGAAGAAAATAATTCAATTAATAATAGTGATGATGAAATTGATTATAATGATTATTTTAATTTTTCAAGTGAAGAATTTTGTAAAGCAATGGAAATGAATATATCAGTTATTATAGAACCAGAACCTGAAATTATGCATGGAGATTTAAATTTTAATAATAATGAATTATTAAATGATCTATTAATATAATTATATATCTATTTTTTATATATGTTTTATTTTTATTATATATGTATATAAAATTTTATAATATATTTTAAATTTAAATAAAATAATATTTTATTTTATTTTTTATCAAACTATATTAAATAATAATTTAAAGTTATAAATAAATTTTAAAATTATATAATAATTTTGAAATTATACAATAATTTTAATTTCTATTTTAATTTACAATTATTTAACAACTTTAAATATGAATATTTTGATGAATATCAATATTATAGAGATAAAATACATACTATATTATAGTTAAAAACCAGGATTTTTGATTTATCATAAAAATACTTTAATGGAAAATTACTTTCTGTCTTGTAAATTATAAAAAAGTTAAAAAAACAGATTTTTTAATAAAAATTTTAAAAATTTATATAACTTTTAAAAAAATATATTTCAAAAATTTTTTCTAATAATTTTTATTTTAATTTTAATTTTGACTTTTATTTTAATTTCGAATTTTATTTTTAATTTCGACCCCCATTTTAATTTCGACTTTTATTTTTAATTTCGACTCCCATTTTAATTTCGACTTTTATTTTTAATTTCGACTCCCATTTTAATTTTGACTTTTATTTTTAATTTCGACTCCCATTTTAATTTTGAAATATCAAAATTTTGAAATGGTATTTCGGGGTTA